CGGGGCCGCGGCGGAGGCTGGGGAGGCACGGCCCCCGGTGATTGGTGGAGAGCGGTGGCTGCGGCCCGGGGCTTGTTTGCGGAAGTAGGGGGACGTACGGGTGCTGAGTGAGCGGAGGTGAGTGACGGGGCCGGGAGGCGGGGCCTGGGGGGCCTCCCAAACCTCCTCTGCGCCCCGGACTTCGCGGCCCTTCCTTCGCACCTTCCCCGTGTCCCCTGATTCTGAGGCATGTTCTCCATTAACCCTTGTGTGAATCCTGAGGACCCCCAGGTTCCTCCCTGTGACGCGCCAGCGTCCCCAACTCCCATCCCGTGACCTCTCTAGTTCCCCAGCAACCCCCAGCTTCGGCCCTGGGCCCCATCAGTACCTCAGTCTGCCCTGTGTGTCGTCCCTCGGTCCCTCACTTCGTGACTCAACCCGTCCTCCCTTCCCCATCTCCCAGTGCCTCTCGATGGCCCCAGCTTTCACTCTGGCCCCACTGATCACCCCCAGCTTTCCCCCTGTGCCGTCCTAACCTCTCCCGATTTTCCTGCCTCTCTGTATTCCCATTTGATCCCCATTTCACCTCCATTTGTCTCCCCTGTTCTCCACTTTGCTGTTCCCTATTTCTAATTACCTGCTTATTGTCTCCCAAACCTCCAGTTTTCATCTATGCCTGCTCCCCCCACCACGCACCCTCCTTCCCCATAGCTTTCTCACCCCAAAGTCTCCCAACCCCCTAACTTTCGGTCCACCTCCTGCTCCTACAGATGACCTGGGAGCTGGTGACACGGCGCATGTGACCCATGTGACCATGTGACTGGGACAGGCAAGCCCGTGGGTGTGGGAGAGGGAGGAGGGCACCGGGCTCAGGGATCTGTGAGATTTTTTTTTTTTTTTTTTAATGGGCTATCAAACAAATACCTTCCCTTCCTCTAAGCTTCGGGATCTTTCCCTCACCTGCCTCTTACCCGCCCAAGAGGATGTTAGGCAGGTTTGGTTTGGCATCACATATGCTCCACCCTTGGGCTGAAAGCAGTGTTTTTGTTACTGTCTTTGCCTCAAAATGTTACTGGAGGCTATTTTCGTCCAGGTCTCAGTTTCCTCATCTGGGGGGAGGGGGAGGGGGATTGTTTTTCCTGCCCTCATAAGGTTCACACTTTGAGATAATGTGGAAGGCAAAGCTTTGTAATCAGTACGGTCCTGTACAAATGCATGGTTTCTCTATTTTGTCATAGACAGGAAAGGGAGAGGGAGAGAATGGAAAAAACCCAGGAGGGAAAGACAGGTAGAAGGTACATTGTCTTTTATATAGTATTTGGCAGTATGTATTGATCATTCGGTATGGGCGAGGCGCTCTTCTTTGTAATCTTCATTCATTCGTTCATTCATTTGTTCCTTCCTTATTTATTTAACAGATATTAATAAACTATTTCCTATGTTCTAGACTACCCTTGATGTAGCCAATGTTATTTCCATTTAACACAAGGAAGAGAGGGCAGGTGAGTTGCCTGAGATCACACCAGTTGATCCAGGTTGGAGCAGGAATCTGAACACAGTACTTTGTAACACCAGAGCCAGTATGATTGCCTTGCTGTGTAAGGGTCACTACTGTTGTCTCAGTGCCCAGGGCACTTTTTCTCCTCCCATGGGTTACTTGCTTGTTAGATGACAGTATCCCCCAAAGGGAATTTCCTTTTCACTCAGCAGAATGACATCAGCAATAGAAGAATTTAAATGCCTGTGTGTCTATGTGTGTGTGTGCGAACATTGCTGTGGTGGAGATGCCTTGTGTTACAAGCTTCACTTTGTAGAGTGGCTCCCTGGGAGAACATTTTAATAGGTCCATGCCTTAAATGCCTCTTCTCTTTTTGTCCACCCTCATTCTTTTGGTGATCTCATCCAGTCTGGTAGCTTTTAAGTACCATCTCTACTCTGACAACTCCCGAATTTATATCTCCAGTCCAGTCCAGTCCAGTCCAGACCTTTCCCCTGAATGATAGACTCACATAGCTAGTTGCCCACCTAACGCCTGACACTTACACATTTCAAACTTAAAGTGTTTAGAATTAAGCCCCTGATATTCACCTCTTGGTCCCTTCCCCACCCTCATCCAAAACCTGTCCCTCCCCCTCAGTTTCCCATCTTTAATACTTGGCAGTATTCTTTCAGTTGCTCAGGCCAAAGCTGCAAAGTTATCTCTGATGGCTGTACACTCTGCATCCAGCCAGAGTGATCCGTTAAAATGTCACTCCTGCCTGGCTGGGCGTGGCTCAGCAGTTGAGTGTCGACCTAGGATCCAGGCTCTCGGGGTTCGATTCCCTGTCAGGGCACATTCCCGGGTTGCAGGCTCGATCCCCAGTCGGCGGCCTACAGGAGGCAGCTGATCAATGACTCTCTCATCGTTGATGTTTCTTTCTCTCTCTCTCCCTCTCCTTTCCTCTCTCTGAAATCAATAAAGATATATTAAAAAAAAAAAAATCACTCCCTTTGCTCCAAGCCCTGCAGTGGCTTCTCTCACTGTACATGCCTGGCCCCCATTATCTTTCTGACCTCACAGTCTTCCTTGCTGTTCCTGGAACGTAGCAGGTATGCTGCAGCCCCAGGGCCTTTGCACTTGCTCTCACCTCTGCCTGGAAAACTCTTCATCTAGATATCTATATGACTTTTGCCTTCATTTCCTTTGTCTTCATTCAAGGTCAAGTTTCTAGTGAGGACTTCCCTGTTCACCTTATCTAAAAATTTAGTCTTGATCTGGACACGTTCTCTCTCCCTTCTCTGGTTTATTTGTCTCCTCAGCACTTAATCAGCATCTAAACCTTTGTCTATATTTTGCCTGTTTACCTTCTTTATTATTTATAGCCCTCTAAAATATAAGTTCTAGAAAGGCAGGATTTTGCCTGTTTTGTTCATTTGTGTATTCTCAGCAGTTAAAACAATGCCATATAAAAGGTCTTCAATAAATATTTGTAGAATGAGTCATAAAATGGGTCATGCCATCCGCCCAAAGATTCCTTACAGTTGCTGGTGTCCCCTGTCCTTGGGAGCTCAAGCAACAGCACTTCCAGGCCAGTGTGCTTCCGGCCGAGGCTCAGCCGAGCGGAGTAAATGGAAAAGATCCCTTTCCTTTTTTGAAAGAGCATTTTGCTCTGGCTCATGTGAAAGGCACTCTGCGTTTGTCAGATGAGGGCCTTAGCTGTTGGAGTACAAGAGCCTGAAAATCAAGCCTGACTCAGCCGTTTTCCAGTCAGGCTTGCTCCTGAAGGCAGTCTGAGGATTATGAGCTAGAGCTCCGGATTCCAGCTAATTCAGTTCAGATCTGGCAAATTACATAATCTATGCCTCAGTCTCCTGGGTGTAATATGGCAGAAGTACACCTTCTTTTATGAGTGTCTTGAGGAATAAATGTGATAATTACCGAAAAAGCTTGGTGAAGCACCTGGTGCTTAGTGGGTGCCGGTGAATGCAGCAGTGCTGTTGGGGCATAAGGTGACGGGAGCAAGCTCTTCCCCACTCGTCACTCGCTTAGGAAAGAGTTAGGGACAAGCTGGGGTCAGGGTGAACATATGGAGGAACATTTTGTTTTGGAGGCAGCCTTGGAGTTCCAGAAGCTCAGATGGGAGGTGGAGGTGACTTTTGACTTGATTCCTACTTTCACCCAGTCTTTCCTCACGCACTAACCGAGCGCCTACTATGTGCAGGCCCTCTGCCGAGTGCTGTTCAGGAGTTTGAGGTATAAGGCACGACTCCAGCCGCCAGGTGACTCCTCCCATCTCCTCTCTCTGGGCCTCGGTTTCCCCGTATTCCTCACAATTGCACTTTCCCTCTTTGCTGGGCATTTGTGAGCTTCAAGGCAGCTGACAGATGTGAGAATCCCCTGCCAGCTGTAAAGCATGGTGCCCTCTGGGGAGAGGTGCTCACATGCTGAGGTGCAGGAAGGAAGTCTGCAGTGACCAGCACAGCCTCGGTACTCTGATCAGACCCCCTGCTCTCATCCCGTCCTGCCAGGGCAGTGGACTGGGGGAGACATCGGCTGCACAGGAGGGTGATGCTGTCCTGTGCCTTTTGTTCCGATCATGGGACATTCTGTCGTAAGCAGCTGGACTCGGGCAGCCTGGTTTCCAGTTGGAGCAGCTCTGTGTGTGCTCCCAGAATCCCCACGTGGCCAGTCCCGTGAGATCAGCTTCCTGGCCTGGCTGCCGGTGGATCCTGTTACGCACCTCCCAGCAGCCATCCTGCCCTTCTGGCCAGGCTTCTTCAAGTAGGAAACAGAGGCAGTAAGAGTTTTCCCCACTTGGAGTGTGAATGAGCTCAGCTGGTGGTATATAAGGCTGAACGTTCCAGACCAAAGCTCAGTACTCTTCCTGGTGCCCAGTAGGAGCCCCATGAAGGTTTCCCTGGTAGGGAATAGGGTATGTGGCCTGTTACCGCCTGCAAGGGAATTAGAGAGGAGAGAGGGGTGCCTCAAAGGTGCTGCCTGTGGGCTTCCAGTTGGTTCATTCACTAGTTCTCACTCATTCATCCACCAGACATTTGTTAAATAGCCACTACTTGCTAGGTGTTTAGATAAACAAATAAAAGGGGGGCAGACGGGCAGCCCAAACCCACAGGTACACCCTCATCATCCCAGGATAAGGGCTGCAGTGGGGTGTGTGCTGGACAGTGAGGGTAGAGAGGAAGGAGCGTGGACACTGGGGACTGAGAGCAGGGGAGACGCAGGGTATGGTTCTTAAAGGAGGTGGCACATGAACTGAGGTTTGAAGGGCAAGGAGGAGTTATTCATTTGTTCATTTGAGAGCATCCTCTGAGATCGGGAGGACAGGCGGGGGGGGCAGAAGGGGGGAGAGTGTGGGCGTGAGGGACACTGAGGCCCGAGTGTAGCATGCTCCAGGAGGTCTCCGTGCCCTAGCGGGGCTGGAGTAGCAGTGCAGGGGGTGGCTGAGGGGTCGCTGGGCCAGTCCACATGGACACTCACATCCTTTCTCTGGAAGGTGATGGGGGGCCACTGATTTGCACAAAGGGGGTGTAAGATGGGTGGGTGGACCTGCCTTTGTGGTGCCTGTGTACAGAAAGGGCTATAGTGTGACTGGGAGCGTTGCAGGAGGGGCAGATCTACTGAGCTGAGGGTTCACAGGGGGCAGCTGGGCCTGAAGGAGGAACAGAGGCTCTGGCAGGATGGGGGAGGGCATTTAAGGTAGGACAGGCCAGGACGTGTCCCCTCTCACTCTGGGAGTGCTGGTCTCACCACGTACTCCGCCATTCTCTGCTACACTTATGAAGCTTGTCTCCTTGTCTATAAACCGGGGATAGAGAACCCATTTCACTGGGTGGCTGTGATCAAGGCAGGCATGGCAGGTGCTGGGCAAATGGCTCCGTGGTGACCAATGTTCATGTTGACAGCAGCAGTAACCGTAGCCCCTCCTCTGTACCACCAGGACCCAGTGAAAATGCTCGTTCCCAGATGGGTCCCACAGGCTCCTGTCCCCATGCTTTCCCACACATTCTTGTGGTCTCCGTCTGTTGGGAAGACCTCTTCCCCATCCCCAACTTCAGGGTACAGCTCAAGAGTCACCTCCTCTAGACATTCTTCCCTCACACTTTCCCCAAAAGGGACTGTGTACTTTTTGAGACATAGGGGGCTTGGTCCCCCTGTGACTACTCGTTTTATGAACCCACCTTCAGGGACTTCACCCAAGATTCTACCTGTTGGTTCCAATCATCCTCTGATCCCAGTAAGGGTTTTTTGTTTGTTTGCTTTGGTGGACATCTTCTACATGTCCTTTTTAAACCGTTCTTTGAACACCCACAATTTAAGGCCTCTCTGGGCCTCAGTTTCTTTATCTCTGAAATGGGGAGGAGTTGGCTGGAAGGGACCTTGCAGGTTTGGGATGGCAGCCGGCTCCGCAGCTCAGCGTCCTCCCCCTGCAGCTGTTCTGGAAAAACCCCTGGGGTCTGAGGTCAGAGGCAGTGGGCACAGGACGGGAGGAAGACAACAGGAACGAGCAGGGAGCACAGGCATGTGCCATCTACTTCATACTTGCCGCTTTCCAGGGTGGCCTGTTATGATTGTTCTAGGATGTGGCCCGGTGGTTTTAATTTCCTTTCTTCCACCTCGTGATAACAACGGCCACTGTTTGTGTGCCCAGAGTGTCCTGGACACTTTCCCTACATTGTGTCATTTCATCCCCTTGCCCAGCCTGGAAGGTGGGAGGAGAGCCAGGTGTGTCCTTTCAGTGGTCAGGCTGCTGTCGGTGTGGGGGAGGCAGCCCTGGTGCCTGCCCAGGGCCCAGAGGAGGGTGTGTCTCCTCTGGAGTCCGGTATCTCCCTTCCATCCAGCTGGATCCCCACAGTGACTCTCTGCTTCTTAACCAGAGTGGTGCTGATGCTCTTGGCTTCCCCGCTTCCTGTGAGCACCATCCTCAGGGCAGCCAGCCTGCCCTTGGGGAAGCCTCCTTTGTAAGCCAGGCCTGACCCCCATGAGCCCCCATCTCCCCTATATTCCTACTTTCTTTTTTTATTGAATTTATTGGGGTGACATTGATTTACAATCAAACAGGTTTCAAGTGTACAACTCAACAAAACATCTGCACACAGCATCATGTGCCCATCGCCCAAAGCAAAGTCTCTTTCTGTCCCCACTTACCCCCACTTTGCCCACCTCCACCTCCACCTGCCCCCACCCCCGTTTCCCTCTGGCTACCACCACACCTGTTTTCTTTAAAAAATATTATCATTTTCCATACCATTTGGGAAATAGGGAAAAGAAAAAAATTGCCCTTAAACCCAATATCCTTATCTACTTAGTATTTTGGTATGTTTTCTATCAGTCTGTCTCTCTCTTTTTTGCTGTGCATAATTTTTCCTCAGTTAAATTATGTAAATTATGCTTTAACAAACTTCCTGTGGGCCAAGCCTAGTGCTAGGGGTGAGTGTGCAGAGGGACAGCACCCGCCTTTAAGGAGCTCAGATTCCAGAGCCAGCCCATCTGGGCTCTAGTCCTCACTCTTCCACCCTCTAGCTGTGTGACCTTGGGCCCTTTACTTTACCTCTCTGTTCCTTGGTTTTCTCGTGAGGATAACAATGGTAGCAATCCTATGGGGCGGTGGTGTGGATGAAGTGACTAGCTGATATAAACTCTTGGAACAGGCCCAGAGCACAGAACAGGCGAGGCCCGTGAGTGTTTGGTGTGCGCAGCGGTGGGAACTGTGCCGCCTGGCAGGAGGTGTGAAGCGCTGCTTTCTGGAATCCAGCCCGGTTAGGAGCTGAGAGGGCGGGGCTGAGGGGAAGGGGCTGCACGGGGAGGCGGGGGCTCCGCAGGCCCTGCTTGTAGCCCGGGAACAGCATGTCATGGACTCCATGCCACTGAGCCTGTGACAGGCACCACGTGCTTTTCCTGAGTTGTTATAACCTCCACAACCGCAGGTTTTAATGCCCGCGCAGTGTCTCTAGGGTGAATGTTTTATCGTTTACAGTTGCCCTGATGTGGGGTATCGAAGTTGCTTCCATTTCTGTGTCAAAACAGAAATCATTATCTTGCACATTGATGTGCGTGCCCGTCTTCCACTCCTGGGGTTCTTTTTCTGAGACCGAGTCCCACACTTTTCCTTGGGATCCCTCTCCTCTCCCCTGGCTGTGAGGAGGGGTGCAGGTACCCCAGCTCTTCTGTCCCTGCCGTTCCCGATGCAGAAGGAAGAAGGAACTTGACACAGGTCTAAGCATTCTCACAAATGTCTTCGTTTCATCCATACAGCCCATGAGAGGTGAGCACTGTTCTCATTTTAAAGGAGAACTGAGGCTCACAGTCTACTCACACCACAGAGAGGTTAAGTAACTTGCCCAAGGTCACACAGCTGGTAAGTGGTGAGGCTGGGATTTGAACGCAGTTTTGCTCCAGAGCTGTACTGTGGGCTTAATGCACCTGCCTCATGGTTTTGTGAGAATTAAATGAGACAGTGGCATGATGTGCTTGGCTCAGGGCTTGCTACCTAGTGAGTGCTCAATAAATGCCTCTGATGTGATTGTCATTATCGACGCGTATTCCCTGTTTAGATGATTAAATGAGGCCTCTTGTTCCTTTTATTCCTAAAGCTGATTTTCTTCTCAACACGTGGCCAGGGTGTGACTAGTGTCCACTGAGAGGTCCACTTTCCCCTGGGGCGCCCACACTTCCATGGTCTGTCCTCAGTGTCCAACGCTCTCTTTTGGCTAGTGTGTTCTGGCACAGAGGCAGAGGGCAGCCTCTAGCAGATTGTCACCTGACTTTGGTGACATTGACTTAGGAAGGCAGCATGTTTTCTGGGAACCCAGGAAATAACAAGACATCTAATTCTGTCATCCAAATGGGATAATTTCCATAGCAGAGACTGTGACCCTAGGAACATGAAACGTAAAATTTCCACCCAAACACATGTTCACTTCTAAGTCTTTTCGTTTGTACTCATTTCTGAGGAGCTTGGTTTGGTGTCCCCCTGAGCTCCTTGGGAAGCCAGGGTAGCACCTATTAAAAGTTTAGACAAGTGCTTACAGTTCTCTGCCCTGGTGGAATGTGAGATGATCCTGGTCCCCTGTTGTTTCTAGTAGAGAGGGGACACTGGTTTGGTTTATGGAACTGAAATGACCCTGCCAAGCTCTTCGAGTACCAAAAAGTTGACTGTACACCTACATACGTAGGGAGAACCCCTCCATTGGCACAGGGCAGGATCCCCTGTGTGTACATTCCTTTGATCAGTACAGCTCCACATTACAGATGAGGAAACTGAGTCTGTGCTGGGAAATTGGGTCCGGGAGCAGGACAGTCTGGTTGCCTGTGCCAGTGGGAGCTCTGTAATTCCCATTAGGCCTTCTTACCTCCCACTCTGTGCTGTTTCTCTTCCCCTCCTCTTCAGGCCCCTCCAGGCTCAGAACCAGGGGAAGCATGCTGGTGGGGAGCCACCTGGGTGCCTGGGCAAGAAACCACTGTGCTTGGTGAGGTGGGCATCGGAGATTGGGCCCAGCTGACAAGACAGCTCTTTTTCTTGCAGACTGAAGGGGAAGGCAGCAGGACCTCCCCACCGGCCCTGCAGAAGATGCAATTCTTTGGGCGCCTGGTTAACACCCTCAGCAGCGTCACCAGCTTGTTCTCTAATCCGTTCCGGGTGAAGGAGGTGTCTGTGGCTGACTACACCTCGAGCGACCGGGTTCGGGAGGAAGGGCAGCTGATCCTGTCCCATAACTCTTCCAGCCGCACCTGGGACTGCATCCTGGTCAACCCCAGGGACTTGCAGAATGGATTCCGGTGAGTGATATGCTGTGACACACATGTCTTTCCTGTGACTTCCTCCAGTACTGGGACTGGAGGTCCCTGGCTTTGGCTCTACCACCATCTGAGGGGTCAGGAGAGGAGTGGGAGAGGGAACTTCTCTTTAGTGGAGGGAGGGACTTCCTAGACTCCACTCCTTCTGGCCCATCAGGGTCCCAGGAACAGGGGCATGGGGATAGAACCCTGGGCTGTTTGTTGCTGCGGGGCTTGACCCGTGCAGACAGAGGAGGAAGGATGGGAAAGCCGAGAAGGGTCAGTCAAGTAAGCCCCAGGGATCACCTGCAGCCCTGGATCTTTAAAGGCATGGCCGTCTTTCGGGGCTGGCCAAGTTTTGTTCAGGAGAATGTAGAAGGGGTAGGTAGCTGTCACTTCTCAGGGCATACTGGGTCGGCCATGGTCCAGAAGGAGGGGGTCAGAAGCCAGCTGCAGAGCTGTTGGGAAAAGGGGAAAAGACTGGCCAAGGACCCAGAATGCAGGGCCCAGAGGAGCCTGCGTTCATGCAGGCTGGCATTGACGTGGGCTTATGCCGATAGCCCCTTTTCCATGTATTCATCCATCTGGCCATCTTGTTGTCCATCCCTCCAGTCAGCATGCACCGAGCACCGCCAGTGTCCGTCCTGGGCCCTGGGCTGGGCCCAGCTGCTGCTGTGACCTGACAAAACATGCTCTGTGCTTTTAAGGAGTGTGTAGTCCTTGGGGAGGCCACCTGAAAGCCAGGCAATACCATGTGAGGAGTGCTGTGACAGGTGGAGCCTGTGGAGCAGTGGAGATACAAGGAGGTACCACTTCTGGGTGCTCCCCTGTGCGTGGAAGAGTGAGCCAGAGCGTGTCTGGCAGAAAAAAGTGGGTCGGTTGTTCCAGACCTGGGGGAGCGGGGGAGAGGGCTGCAGGCAGATGGCTCTGGTTGGATCCCAGGTGCATCCAGGGCTTTGGTGAGAAGTGAGGCTGAGGGAGCCTTGGGATCATTCTGAGTAAGGAGGCATGGCAGCAAGTGTCTAAGAAAGTGGCAGCTGGGGGTCAAGGTCCAGCCACCAGGAGAAGAGCAAGGCAGGGTTTCAGGGCCCCAGCCAATCAGGTGAGAATTCAGGGCCTGGCTCCACGGGGAAACAGAGAGGCACCCTAGTGGGCAGTTGGTCAAGAACACAGTTCAGTGGCCAGTCCAGATACAGTTTCACAAAGCAGGACTAGTCCAAGCTCTGGCTACAGCTCCAGAACCATCCCACAGGCCTGCATCTGAGGGCTTCTGTTGAATGCACAGCTGGCCAGGGCAGTGGGTCCACTCCTTGGAGCACTGCTCATCCTTACTTTTTTTAAAAATCCTCACCCCATGGCATGTTTTTATTGATTTTAGAAAGAGAGGGAGGGGGGGAGAGAGAGAGAGAGGGAAACATTAATGTGAGAGAAACATTGATCTGTTGCCTCCAGTATGCGCTCTGACTGGGAATCGAACCCACAACCTTTTGGTGTATGGGACGACGCTCCAAGCAACTGAGCCACCCAACCAGGGCCATCCTTACTTTTGAGGTCCCCTGCCCTGGGGCTCTACACCCTCCACGTGCAAATCATCACCAAGTCCTATGAGTTGTAAATATCCATTGACAGGATTGCAGCTTTGCCTCGGGAAGCCCCCCTGTGAGCAGACTTCCATCTCGGGGGTTAAACCCTTACCAACAGTTCATTAACTCCACCTGTACTATTGCTGCCCTCGATGGGGTGCACCTTACAGCTGACAGTACTTTCACGGGGTGCATTAGCACGTCCTCCAGCGACCTGTTGAGGGAAGCAAGGAAGGCAGTACCTCCTTGTAGAGATGAGAAAACCGAGGCTCAGGGATGAGAGGTGATCCTCCAGGGTTGCGCAGGAAGCCGTGAAGAAGCAGAATCTTTGTGTCATCTGGTTCCTAATCCATTTCTCTTTCTGCACAACTGTTTCCATGTGTTTAGACAGGATAAGGAGCATTATTGGGTGGGGTTTCAAGCCAAGCTCATATCTCTTCTTGGAATTCCTCACATTCCTCACTTGGCTCTGGAGTCTCTTTGCTCTTCTCTCTAACCTCCTCCCACCCAAGCATTTCTGTGTCAGCAAATGGCATCACCATCCATCTCCGTGGTTGTGCAATCCAGGAATGATCCTGATTCCTCCGCCTCCCTCAGCCCAGATCTGGGTCCTTACCAAGTTCTGTCGGCTTCCTCCCAAGTATATCCTGAGTCAAGTATATCCTAAGTCTGCTCCTTGCCTGTCAGTTACACTTAGGTCCGACTTGAGTGATAGGAAGCCCAGCATGATAGTGGGGAAACAGGATAGAATTTTAATTTTCTCCTAAGTGACAGCCATGGCAGAAAAGGCTGGTGTGGCTGCCCTGCTCCTCAAAGTCCACAGGGGCCCAGGCTCCTTCTGTCTTTTTTTTGTTAATCCTCACCTGAGGATATTTTTCCATTGATTTTTTTTAGAGAGAGTGGAAGGGAAGGAGTGGGAGAGAGAGAGAGAAACATTGATGTGAGAGAGACACATAGATTGGTTGTCTCCTGCACATACCCTGACTGGGGCCAAAGATCGAACCTGCAACCCAGGCACATGCCCTTGACCAGGAATTGAACCACGACCCTTCGGCGCGTGGGCCGACACTCTAACACTGTGCCACACTGGCCAGGGCAGCTCCTTCTGTCTTGTTCCACCATGTGTGGTCTCCGTTCTCTAGATCACCACATGGTCCCAGATGGCCACGATAGATCCAGCCATCACAGCTACCTTTCCAGCCAACAGAAAGGTGAAGGGCACTCTCCTCTTTAAGGAACACTTCTTGGAAAGTTGATCACATGCTTTCCACCTAAATGCCTTTGGCCAGGAATTAATTGCAGGTAACTTCAGGGGAGGCTGTGTTCCAGCCACAGTCTAATCCGAAATCAGGGGTGCTGTTACTTTCTGCTTTGCTGCTGGCTCTCTTTTCAGGCCATGGTGGTTATGATGTGGACTCCTGCTGCTCCCTGCCTTCTGGATATTGTTCTGTCTGCAGTCTTGCTCTCCTTCCATCCTCTCCAGGCTGCTATCAGAATGATCTTAGAGGGCAAATCTGTCACTCACTCCCCTAATTAACTCTTCAAGGGCTTTCATTTCCTTAACTTATCAGCTGATTAGCATGGCTTGAAAGGGCCCCTCCTAGGGCCTTGCCTGTCCTTCTGGTCTCATCTCTGGCCTCCTTGTGCTCCAGGCCTTTTCCCAAACTCTTACCTCTGCCTAGAACACTTGCCCTCTTTGCTGGCCTCACTTCTACTTCCCTGCAGGCTAGCATAGGTGCTGCCGCTGTGTGTCCCCACAGCACCCGATCCCTGCACTCAGTGGACTGCCTGCCTGGTGAACACAGACCCTGCGAGGGGAGGGGCTGGGTCTGTTTTGTTCATCCTGGTGTGACTCCCCAGACACAGCAGGGTGCCTGGCACAAGTGTGTGAGGTGAGTGTGAAATACTCATTCAGCTCAGCTCTTCTGGGCCCATCCTGGGCGCGGCCCCAGGGCGGCCGCTTGTAGCATTGCTGTGTACATTGTGATAAGGTCCATGCTCGTGTTCCTGGTACGAATTAATCATTGACTGCTGACATTGACTGTGACATATGTTATTTGATGAATCCTGCCAGCCCAGCAGAAGCAGGGCCTCTCACTTCAAAGCATGTGTGACATGTGACCTTCGCTTCTCAGGAGGGGCTGACTTTTGAGGCCCTCTGCACTTCTGTGCCCGGGCCTTGCTGTGAAGCTGCTCGTTAGGAAGCCTCGTCCCAGCCTTTTCGTGGACTTGACTTCTTCCCACTGCAGTGCCGTGGCCATCCTTACATCCTTTCCTGTTGCTCTCTCTCCATCATGTTTGCTGGGCAGAACCCCAACAGGAGTTGAAACCACTGTGGCTGAAAGGACACCCCTCCGCGCCCACTGGTCTCACCTCGATCATGATGTCAGCTTCAAGTGGCCTGTCATCCTTTTGGCAGCCCTGCATTTCCCTGGGTCATCCATGTCAGGCTCTCCTGGCACGCATGCCTGTCCTGCCTCCTCCTCCTCCGGCTCCTCCTCCTCACGCAGTTCCTTCTTCTCTCTCCTGCATAATTCCCCCTCTTTACTGGATATTTCCCATCGCTATATTAATGTTTTTAAAAAAATATCCTTCTCGACTCTACTTTTCCCTCAGGTGCTGCCTGTACATGTTTATGAGACATATTGTCCTATAATTTTCTTTTTAAGAAATATTCCAATCAGTTTATTAATGTTGTAGTAGTTATATAGATTGCAATATGACTTATTACAACCTACCTTAAGTTGGTACTTTGACGCTTACCTTGCAATGCAGAAACCTTCAAACACGTCAGTTCCATTTATCTATCTCATCAGCCTTTTGTGATATTATTGTGACGTATTTTACTTAAACGTATATGTAAATATTTATATCTGTGTCTCTCTACCCCCCAAACATTACTGTTGTTGTTATAAACAGCTAATTTAGATTTGCCCACATATTTACCCTTTCCATTGTTCTTTATTTCTTCCTGCTTTATCTTGCTTCTGTCTTGGATAGTTTTCTTTCTGCCTAAAGAACTCCCTTTAGTAATTCTCTTAGTAGAAGCCTGCAGATAATGAATCCTTTCAGTTTTTGTTTGAAAAATGACTGTGTTTCACCTTTATTTTTGAAATATAACTTTATTAAATAGAATTTTAGGCTGACAGTTATTTTCTTTTATCTTTATAAAGATGTTGTTTAATTGTCTTCTCACTTCCATTGCTTCTGTCAGCAGTCAATTGTCAGTCTTATTATAAAATATATATATATTTATATTTATATTTATATATATATGTATAGGCTGCTTTTAACATGTTCTCTTTGTCTTTTTTTATTTTTTTAGTTTTTAGTTTTACTATTATATGCCCAGGTGGTTGTTGTCTTTGTATTTGTCCTCCTTGAGGTTTGTGAAACTTCATTAATCTGTATCTTGAATCT